CTGTCGGCGAAATGTGGACTCTTTACTAAAGATGTTACAATTTAACCAATATCCATATAAAAAGAAGTGATAAAAACAACGTTTTGATTAAACTGCTATCTTTTATTTATGTCTTATTAATAACAACTTAAAACGTTTAAAAATTGCGAAACGTATACATATCTCATCTTTCACATCAGCCGTCCAGACGTTTTTTTTCGAGAATTCTGTTCAGTGGTGTACCATGGACTTCAGAGTATCTTGTGTTAAAAATGTATGATCTGTATCTGGAAGAGAAAAAATACATTGTTTTATTAAAGTTACAGCAATAACATCTAAAATGCGTCCCTCCTTCTGTAGTTACAGCATTGTGTTTAGCGCAGACTGGCTCTGGAGAGCCCCAGTGCAGCAGGTTTTGTAGGTCGCTATGAAATGACCAACCTCTACATTATGTATTGTCCATCGCGGACAATAAAACAGCTAACTTGTTAAAGATCATGCCCTCAAGGGCCAGATTTCTCTGAATCAAACAGAATACTTGGCTGTTTCATATGCAGCCAACAGGTGACTTACAAGAGAGGATTGTAAGCCACTTTATTGGCCATATACAGTTTCTTGCATTAGGAATTTGTCTGTTCACATACCCCAGCTTGCTCTCCATGAGACACGAAGACAGGGAGCGCAGGGTCAGCCATTTATACCGCACTCCTGGAGCAGCTGGGGTGCTCCTACAGAGTAGGATTAGGATAGAGTAGGATTCCTCTGCCGGCCGCGGGATTTGAACCTGCAACCTTCCAGCCACAGGCGCAGATCCTGAGCCACAGTGCCACTGCTCCGTTTAGAAGTCTAACCAGATTTAGAATCTCCAGGAGCTTTTATTACAGTATACATTTTCATCAAAAATAAATGTGTTCTTCTAGATAATGGAGCCATTTGGTGCTTACCGGAATAGGCTGAAATCAATTTTAACCATTTTTATGCCTCATTTAAAATAAAGTTGTTTCTTTCAAAAACATGAAACACTTTAAGGCAAGGCCTTCAAACTCAGTTACCGGAGGGCCTATTTGGAACAAAACCCAGAAGACACCGGGCCCTTCAGTTAGACCCCTGACCCAGAGATACTTCACGAC